ATAACGCTCATTCTTGACACGCAGACAAATGCTCTGCTCTTTAGGGGTACCCCCATACATTGGCAAATGTGGGGTGTTTGTGGTGTGGTGGAATTTTACAACTAAAGTCAGGAATGACTTTCCCTGCATTTCTGCAGTTAAGGCAGCCCACTGAAATGAATGGGCTTCCCTACACACAGCCACACAGATGTGAACTGAGGGCCTGCTCACCTGTGAGGTTGGAGGGTGGTAAAAACACGCAACTGAGCTGCTTTTACCACCTCCAACTGGTCCCCCAGAAGCAGCAGCTGGGGGTATACACATGCTGTTGCCACAGCTGAAAGTATACCTCCAGGTGTATGGGGTTGAACTACAACCACCCCGCAACTGTGTGCGCACTGTACACGGTTTTGGTGTGGTGATGCTGCTTTTTTACGGGGTTAAACCAGGTGGAGAGGAGGCAACATATTGCCTCTTTACCACCTGTCAAATGCAAAACAGAGCAAAATAGAAAAAAATTATGCAAACTTTAAATAAAAGTGTATCACAACAAGTATGATCCTTCTAAGCGGCCATATTAAGTCCACTGTAGACTACATCTATCAACTGCCAAAAATACTAGAGCCTAGTGAAAATATCCACATATCCACAGCAATTCTAAAGAATAGGAAACAAATTATATACAATAAATATTTAGTATCTGGATCTGAGTTTAAGGTTGCAGCGACTTGGTGCAATAAAAGATATTCTGAAACTGTTCAAAGACAACATTTTGTAAAGCTGTTGACCTATAGGACATTATTACATTTTTGATGAGCTAAAAAAAAGGAACAAATGGGCCTCCTGGGGCAAAGAAAAAAACATATCTGCTGTTTGCATTAGAGGAACCGAGCACTTTGAAGAATGATGGGCCCCATGAATGATCAATACTGGATGTGCAAAATTCACGAGCCACCAGACACACCTAAAGCTGCTATGTACTAACTGTTTTCCCCAGCACAATTCTAAGTGCACTGCTATTCTCCTGCTGCCCCACCTTGTGAAGTGTGATCAGTTTGAAGACCGGCAAAATAATGCGGTCACCAAGGCAAGTTGCCTGTCTATGGATGTCCTTATATAAAAGTGCAAGGATTAATAAAGATTGAAGAGGAACGTAGGCTCCATTCACACTACTGTGATTTCAGATTATTATTATTATACAGTATTTATATAGTGCCAAAAGGTTTTCTCAGCACTGTACATTATAGTGGGGGACAGTACATGATACAATACAGTAACAAAACAAAAGAAGAGGGGTTCGAGGGCCCTGCTCTTTCGAGCGATGCAACTTGAATCACACAGAATCACATAGCAATGAAAATCACATTGTTTTCAATGGTGCCAGTTCACATCAGCATGAATTTTGAAAAGGTTCAAGTACCACTTTGGTGCCATTCCAGCACCATACTGGCCCCATAGAATATACAAACCACAGCCACATATTCACACTGAAAATCAGATCACAGCAGTGTGAACCTAGCCTTAACCCCTCATGCACACTAGGTTATGAAAATAAGCAGCATTTTGTTTGCCCAAATTTGTACTGTTACAATACTGTTAGTACTGTTACACTATGTATGCTTTGCGCATATGGCATTTGAGAATAAATGCATTCTACTGGCCAGAATATTAATTTATTCTATCCACTGGAATACGGTTGTATTTATTTGCATTTTTACGCACACTCATTTTTTCTGCCTAAAAGATCTTCTCAAAATGCGCCTTTGGTGTTTTATTTTTTCTCCTTGTAAACGCTCCTCCTCAAATACTCCTGTAAATGCCATGGCCGTATAAGCCAACATAGAGGTGTTTTTACAGGCATACAAAAAAAATGTTAAACGCCTGTATAAGCAGAATTTTTTAAGCTCCGTATGCATGAGGTCAAAATGTAAAGGGACTTAAAAAAAAGCCATTGGGTTTATATTTTGTGCCCGGAAAGCTCGCTACATACTGGTAGATTATTTGACTATACAGTCTTGATTCTGCAAAAGTCTTCTTTATGTGGAGAGAACACACATATCATCAGACTGCAGTTGGTTAGAAATCAGTGTTTAATGGAGATAAACAAAGATAGTCTGTGATAATCATTAGGGCTCTTTAACACGGGCATTCTGTATGTCCGTTTTTCATCTGTCCATTTACAGATGAAAAATGGACACCCATGTATTTCTATGGACTAGCTTAATGTCTGCATCCGTTAATGCCAGTTTTTTTTTAACCAAAGAAAACCCTATTTTTCTTCCGTAAAAAAAAAAAAAACTGGCATTGACAAAAACCAGATGTAAACAGAGAAAAAACGTATGTAAAAGGACATACGGTCCGTTTTTGCATTGGTAAAGGATATAAAAAAACAGATGTAAACTGATAAAAAAAACGGATGTAAACTGATGAAAAACGGATGTAAACTGATGAAAAACAGATTATTATTATTATATTATTATACAGGATTTATATAGTGCCAACGGTTTGCTCAGCGCTTTACATTATAATGAAAAATGGATGTAAACTGATGAAAAAAAACGGACGTAAACTGATGAAAAACGATGTAAACTGATGAAAAACAGATGAAAAACAGATGTAAACTGATGAAAAACGGATGTGAACTGATCCATTTTTTTCTTGGAAAAAACGTGACTGAACTGATGAAAAAAACAAAACGCCCATGTGAAGGGACCCTTAGGGCTCTTTTACACAAACATTCCGATTGGGTCTGCCTGTCCGTTTTTCAGGTGGACCCAATCAGAACCTCCATTCTTCTCTATGGATCGGTGGGTGTAAACGGACATGTGTCCATTTACACCAGCCGACATCTTATCCAATCAGCCAAAAAGGGACAGATGGGGATCCAATTCCCCTTCCGTCCGTTGGATTAGATCGGATGAAAATGGACAGGCGATCCGTTTTCATCTGACCACCCATTGAGGAGAGCGAGCAGCTCTGTGTTCGCTCTGCAGCAGCGGAGTGAACACAGAGCTGCCATCTGCTTGCTCAGTGGGGATCAGTGGAGAGATCGGAACAAGCGGATCCACTAAACGGGTCCATCCTGTGTAAAAGAGCCCTATGGATGTATGCTTTGGCCAATCAGAAACGTATTGAGGCTTCGGTCATTCATTGCTTAGTGATCACATTTGTCCCATGCATGGCCCATTTAGTAACAATAAATTCACCTGGTGTTGGCACATTAATCACCTGATTTCAGCTGAAGGGGAGTCCAGACAGTGTCACTGATCCTCTGCCCTTTTCTTGCTCATACTGACGTCAAGCTTACTTCCACTCTGATAAGTGATCTGGTGTTTAGAGGCAGTTGAACTGCAGTTTGCAGGTATTCAAGAGGCAGTACTGCCGCTACCTAAATGCTTGTTTTTTCCCATCCCAAGGGGGATTTGTATGGCAATACGATGTGTAATTGACATGCTGTTATGGCATGGTCCCACTGACTTCAAATGTGACACGCCGATTTAAAGTGTTGCTCCACCCAAAAGGGGAAGTTCGGCTTTTAGTACTGGTCCTCAGCTCCCCGTGAGGAATTGTCACCTTTGAGGAGTGGGTAGCTGATTTTGACAGGTACCCGCTCCCATTTCTGCTACGATCACCTAGGCAATGGGAAGCGGAAGCTGTCCTTCCCCCCACCCTTCCCCATAGTCTTCTGCGACACGTGACAGGTCCCAGAAGACTACAGGACCATTCACAAGGCGCAGCACTACTTGCACATGCGCAGTGGGCACCCGGCTGTGAAGCCACAAACTATCACACCCAATTAAATAAGAAAACAACAGCAGTGAGCGCTAATCCTGATAGCAGCTGGGCACTCTAAGCAACCAATAAAACTTAAAAGCAATAACATAAAATAGTGCAGCGCTGAAATAGTGACAATATGACAAAAAATTGTCCACTAAAAGTCTTGTTCATAAGAACGTATCCAGTGTCAGATGTGAATTCAGAATTGGTGATCCGTGTGGAAATGGCTGGAAAACGCACTCACCAGAAGTAAGACACATAAACGCAGTGTGCATTAAAAGCTCAAGGGTCATCAATCCAGAGGGAAGTAAAGCTGGTCCGGTTACAGGAATGGTGGGTCCCTCCTCCGTAAATGCAGCAACAGATCTTCCTTCTCTCGATTAGAAGTAGAATTCCAAGATCCAGGTTCTGCAAGCAAAAGCTCCTCAAGGGAGTTTTAGGGAAGGACACCCATAGTGAAGTAGGTCATAAAAGGCAGCTTTATTCAAAATAGTGATATCCAATTCAAAGCAGGCAGGTATCATACAGATGTGTCAGCAAGACAACTAACCCTGGCACTTCGAATAGTGGCCGCCGGGCCTCCACGTGGCCTGGAGCCTGGACGTCGAGACGCTACGCCGCCGGAGCCACGTGGAGGCCCGGCGGCCACTATTCGAAGTGCCAGGGTTAGTTGTCTTGCTGACACATCTGTATGATACCTGCCTGCTTTGAATTGGATATCACTATTTTGAATAAAGCTGCCTTTTATGACCTACTTCACTATGGGTGTCCTTCCCTAAAACTCCCTTGAGGAGCTTTTGCTTGCAGAACCTGGATCTTGGAATTCTACTTCTAATCGAGAGAAGGAAGATCTGTTGCTGCATTTACGGAGGAGGGACCCACCATTCCTGTAACCGGACCAGCTTTACTTCCCTCTGGATTGATGACCCTTGAGCTTTTAATGCACACTGCGTTTATGTGTCTTACTTCTGGTGAGTGCGTTTTCCAGCCATTTCCACACGGATCACCAATTCTGAATTCACATCTGACACTGGATACGTTCTTATGAACAAGACTTTTAGTGGACAATTTTTTGTCATATTGTCACTATTTCAGCGCTGCACTATTTTATGTTATCACACCCAATTGCCTACACTAAAGATGCCGGCTCCTGGGAGCGAGGATGGTCGGTAGGTGAGTACACCGCTGGATTGTGGGACAGGTAAGTGACTGGTTTTAAAAGTCAGTAGCTACACTTTTTGTAGCTGCTGCCTTTTAATTTTTTAGCTTTGACTGGAGCTCCAATTTAAAGTATTACTAAACCCAGGACACTGCATTCACTATATCTGGTCTCCCACAGTACATAAAACATGGAAGTGCAATTATCTTAATAAATATAAACTGCTAAATACCTTTTCTCATGAGCAGTTAGACCAATATTGTAACTTCTGTCAGTGTCCAGCAGAGCACTGGTTAAAGCTGGTAGGAGGAGTTCTCATTCTGCTCTAGGAGGATGCAGAACCTCTGACTTCTGTCTGGAGAGTGCTGATTGGACCTGCGCTCTCAATGGACGGCATTCCGTCCATTAAGAGAGCTGTGCCGCAGCGAATCTCCTTTTCCTGCATGTGTGGGAGTGACAACATTGCGGTTTGGCCGATCAGATGGCCGCAACTTGTGAACTCGGAAGGAAGATAGAAGCCTCGGTGAGCCATGAGAGCACGCAGCTCGAGGGCTTTGTTTTCTAAGTCTTTCACAATGTGCTAGTGTGTGATGCATACTAGCACATTATGCTCTTAACTTGCAGGGAGAAGATTTTTTGGAAAGGGTATCTACCGCTTTAAGCTACTCCAGTCTGGATAACCTATTTCTCCATGTATACATTTAAATAATATTGTATAGCTAAGTGATAATGTACGCTAAATATACAAATTCCTGCTGCGAAATAGACATCTCGTAAGAATCATATGTGTTCCAGTGATATAAATCTCCAGAGTTATTTTTAAACACTGGGAATCGGGGACAAAGCTGCTAGTATTTAAAGCCCATGACTCATAACGTGTATTTATACAACGAAAGATGGCTAATATTCTTAAGATAGGGTGTACATCAACATTTGTTTAGAAGTGATTTAAGGATTTGTTCCACACAGCACTCCAAATACCAAATGTAGCTTCAAAGGAATTTTAAACATACAATATCTAAATATCTAGAAAATCTAGAAATGTGAACTTAGACTGCTAACTTCATTACAGTGTTACTAAACCCAGGACCCTGCATTCACTATATCCGCTATGCCTGGACCCCGCATTCACTATATCCGCTCTCCCCGGACCCTGCATTCACTATATCCGCTATGCCCGGACCCCGCATTCACTATATCCGCTATGCCTGGACCCCGCATTCACTATATCCGCTCTGCCCCGGACCCCGCATTCACTATATCCGCTATGCCCGGACCCCGCATTCACTATATCCGCTCTCCCCGGGACCATGCATTCACTATATCTGGTCTCCCACACTACACACAACAACATGGAAATGCAGTTATTTTAGTAAATATAAACTGCTAAATACCTTTTCTCATCAGCAGTTAGAGCAGTCTTGGGACTTCTATCAGTATGCTGAGCACTGGTTAAAGTTTGTAGGCGTTATCATTCTCCTGACTGTCCTATGAGACTGCATGACCCCTGATCCTCTGTCCAGACAGCGCTAGTAGGCCTTGTGCTGATTACATGCACTCTCCCCCCCAAAAAAACTCTCCAGCAATACACACCAAACTGAGCATGTGCAAAGTGCCTCCTAGGACTCTGTACTATCAGCAGATGGATTGGGGACTGTGGAAGGAGGGGAGGATCAGAGAAGACAGGATCAAACAACCTTTTTACATAATGCAGAGGATTTCCCCTTAGTTTCCACAGTGAGTATAACAAGTATGCTTTCCTGCATATACAGACTGATTTTACTGTTGTGGGTTTAGTAACACTTTAATGTATTAGGGCCTGACACTTTTTTAGATAATTTATTACAATGTAAAGACCAACCATTGACTACATTTTTTAGGCTCAAGGTTTTTTAACTTCATGCATTCTATGAATGAAGGTAAAAATTTTCTGTGTGCAACAGTGCCCCCAGCCCCCCCTACTACTCAGCTAAGCACTCTCTCTATCCAGCGATGTGCACTGGAGTCTCGGCTATCCCGGGACTCCCTCTTTTCATTGGTTGAGACAGAAGTGGGAGCCATTGGCTCCCACTGCTGTAATTCACAGCCAGTGAGCTAATGAGAAGAGAAGAGGCAGGGGCAGGGCCGAGCCGTGGCTCTGTGTGTAAATGGACACACGGAGCAGTGGGTGCCCCCATAGCAAGCTGCTTGCTGTGGGGGCACCTGACAGGAGGGAGGGAACAGGAGAGCTAGTGGGAGACCCAAGAAAAGGAGGATCCTGGCTGCTCTGTGCAAAACCACTGCACACAGCAGGTAAGTATAGACATGCTTGTTAATTTTTCTTTAAAAAAAATAAAAAATAAACCTTTAGAATCACTTTAAGTCATAATGCGCTAGTATGCATTGCATAACTAGCACATTATGACAGACTTATCTACACATGGAGTCCTCTAGTGCAGTCACGGCTCCCAGGAGCTTCCATCTTCACCCAGTCTTCCTTCTGAGTTCACAGACTCTGGCTGTATGAATGACCAGGGTGATGACGGTGATGAAGTCACTCCTGCACATGCGCACAAGAGCCCCGGAAATATCTCCTCAACAGTGCAATATTAGGAGATATTCATAGTACCTACAGGCAGGCCTTATTATAGGCTTACCTATAGGTAGAAGTTAAAAAGTGGACTTTACTTCCAATTTAACTGCTTCAGCTCCGCCCCATAGCAGAAATACTACTACAGGGCGGCAGCTGTGTGCAAATTCACACATATACGTGATTTAGCATTTCCGGGCAGGGGGTGCACGCATCCTACCCGCACCACCATTCGCAGGTGCGGCTGTCAATTACCAGGTCCAGTGATTACTCGTCGGCGCCCAGTTGCCGAGGATTTTCGACGGGGAGGGAGAACTGTTAGTAAACAAAACAGTTCTCCTCCCCTCCCTGTCAGCTCCGGTACACTGTTTTACATGGCTGTGCACAGCACAGTGTGCTTACAGTGAAGCACAAACACATAACATAATGTAAAACAGCACACAGTTAACCCTTTGATCGCCCCACATGTTAACCCCTTCCTGCCCAGTGCCATTAGTACAGTATCAGTGACACCAAGTCAGTTCCCCCGCAGTGCCAGAATGCCGCCGCAGCCCTACAATCCTGCTATAAGTCGCTGATCACCGCCATTACTAGTAAAAATTACGAAAAAAAAGCCCATTATATATACACCGCCATTTGTAAATGCTATAACTTTCATGTATATCAATTCATTTACACATATTGGGGTTTTTTTTTTTAGCAAAGACATGTTGCAGAATGCATTTTGGCCTAAATTTATGAGGAAATTAGATTTTTAAAATTTTTTACTGGACATGTTTAATAGCAAATAAGTCCAAAATATTGTTTTTTTTTATCAAAGTTGTTTTTGAAGGACGCAAATTTCATTTGGGTGCAACATTGCATGACCGCGCAATTGCCAGCTAAATTAACGCAGCACGTAAAGCAACAAATGACCTGGTGAGGAAGGGGGATAAATCCTCTGGAGGGCAAATTATTATTATTATACAGGATTTATATAGCGCCAACAGTTTGCTCAGCGCTTTACAATATAACGGGAGACAATACAGCAACAATACAGTTGTGGTACAACAGACAACTTTGTCGGATCTCCAAGTAAAAAGAAAAAAGCTTAAAAAATATAAAAACTAATGCAGCCTTCACATTTAACAGCGAATAAATGTTAGCTTTTGGGTCTAATACCATTTTTAGAGACCTATCAGGAGCAAATGAGCAAAGTTATTATTATTAATATTATTATTATTATACAGGATTTATATAGCGCCAACAGTTTGCTCAGCGCTTTACAGTATAACGGGAGACAATACAGTTCAATACAAGAGGTATAGGAGGGCCCTGCTCCTCGGAGCTTACAAAGTTCAATCATGTTAGGATTTACATATACTAAAGATCAATGTGTAAAGACCACATAACAGGTTAGAACAATCATTGCCTTTATATGTTATGCATGACTTGAGGAAAAGCACAGATACTTATTTTAAGCCAACGACCAAGAAAGAAGTGGAACTGAAAGTTTGTTTTAGGCATAAAATAATGCAGGCGGTTAGCACCCAGACAAAAACACCCTTATTACGTAAGTTCTAAATGTTTTTAAAAAGTAACAAAAATTTTAGGCTTAACACATTTGAAACTCTTAAAGAGATACTAAACGTTCATTTTTTTTTTCTTGTAAAATAACAAGCATGTCTATACTTACCTGCTGTGTGCAGTGATTTTGCACAGAGCAGCCTGGATCATCCTCTTTTCGGGTCCCCTGCCGGCGCTCCTGGCTCCTCCTTTCTGTTGGGTGCCCCCCACAGCAAGCAGCTTTGTGAATGGACACACAGAGCCGTGGCTTCGCCCCGCCCCCTCTCGCTCCTCATTGACTGACTGGCTGTGATTGACAGCAGTGGGAGCCAATGGCAGCGACCTGGGACGGCCAAGGCTATCGTGCGCATCGCTGGATCACGATGGGGCTCAGGTAAGTATTGGGGGGGCTAGGAGCACTGCTGTACACAGGGTTTTTTACCATCATACATAGAATGCATGACTGTATAAAACCTTGAGCCTTTACAACCGCTTTAATGCTTACTGAAAAAAAAACTTTTCCCAAGCTGAACAAAAATACATTGCCCTGAACACCGACTGAATTCTGTAGGCAGGTTGTTTCCTCTGTGTGGATGTGTTTGCTTGGCCATACAGTCCTTTGGAAAGGTTTATTCTGTATATATTTATGTATATTTTGTAGTGGCCACTTTTTGTCATACATGTAGTTTTTCTAATTTGCTTGCCAAATTAAAGCACAAGTCCAGTCAAACCTAAAGTGGTTGCAAACCTCATACGTGAAATATGAACAAAGCATATCCCTTGCTAGTGTCTCAATTATCAGCATTAATCAGTTCTGACAGGTTTTCCTGACACCAAGAGAAAAATGGTGACGGGGAGGGACCTTCAGCAGATTGACAGCCTCAGCTCTGTTCCTGTGAGCTTTGTGGAGGGGTGTGTGACTCTTCCCTCCAGTCAGCTCTCAGAGCTCTCCTCACTAAGCTCTGCAAAGTGTAATATTGGCTCTCAGCCCCCTTTTTTCTGAACTCTCAGACAAGTTTTATAAACTGGGCACTTTGAACAGCTGTAGAGAAAAGAAGACTGCAGATAGACAAGTACAATTTATATAGTATGATTTTTTTTCATCTCTGTATATCATCTGAGGCCAGTCACATCACTGGGTATATGTAAGTGTTTATAACCACCTTAAACCTGCTCCCACCCCCATTCCAAGCCCTATGCTATCTACACTGTAGGGGAAAAATGTCTATACTTACAGTGAAGGAAATAAGTATTTGATCCCCTGCCGATTTTTAATGTTTGACACTCACAAATAAATGATTACCAATTTTACAATTTTTTTCTTGGTGACTGTGGTCCCAGCTGCCTGGAGATCATTGACAAGATCCTCACAGGTAGTTCTGGGATGATTCCTCACTGTTTTCGTGATCGTTGACACTCCAGGAGGTGAGATCTTGCACAGTGCACCAGACCTAAGGAGACTGACAGTTGTTTTGTGTTTCTTCCATTTGCGAATGATTGCACCAACTGCTGTCACCTTCTCACCAAGTTGCTTGGCGATAGTTTGGTAGCCCAGTCCAGCCTTGTGTAGGTCTACCTTCTTGTCTCTGACATCCTGGACAGCTCTTTGGTCTTTGCCATGGTGGAGAGTTTGGAATCTGATTGTTTGATTGCTCCTGTGGACAGGTGTCTTTTATACAGTAACAAAATGAGATCAGCAGCACTCCCTTTAAGAGACTGCTTCTAATCTCAGCTTGTTACCTGTATGAAAGACACCGGGTAGCCAGAAATCCTGCTGAATGATAGGGGATCAAATACTTATTTCCCTCATGAACAAGCAAATCAGTGCATCATTTGTTAGACATGCATTTCTTTTTAATTTTTTGTTGCTATTCTGTCTCTCAGTGTTACAATACACCTACCATTCGATTTTTAGAGTGATCATTTCTTTGTGAGTGGGCAAATATTCAAAATCAGCAGGGGATCAAATACTTATTTCCGTCACTGTACCTATTCTTTGGACGTTCTGATCCAGTCACATGACCAGCTCCAATGCCAGTTTCAATGTAGAGGAGGGACAGCCAGCTCCATAGTAAGCCTATAGGTGACGTCACTGCATGGAACTTCAGTCTTTGTCGGCGATCTCTACTCTTCCCTGCTGCTGGGGATATCATGTGACTGCACCGGAGTGCCCAGGGAATAGGTAAGTATAGGTTTACGTTTTTGACTGGATGTGTGCTTTAATTTGGCATGTCAAACATTTGGCACAAAAAGTATAAGCGTTAGATTTTGACTGGACTTCTACTTCAATAGCTTGAACTGCAGGAAAACAGCTAAATACACAAGTGAAGAGCACTCCTTAGTGTTCCAGAAAAGTTCCTCTTACTACCTGTCTCTGTGACCACTGTTAGCAAAACAGAAAGAAACCAATTACCATAAGTCAAGGAAAGCTACAAATAGTGCAGGACCCATGAGGTTATCTTATTGGTATTGCTATCTTAAAGTATTGATGTTGATGTAAATGAGCTGGTTCCTAAGTAGGAGGCTTCTACACCCCAGATGGTGTTCATGGTCCCTGGCTTGTAGTGCTGGGTGGATAAACATCCATGATTTTTTTTTTTACCACTTCCCGTCCGGCCCATGTACATAAATGGCTGGACGGGAGCAGTGCAGGAGCAGGTGGCTGTTTATAAACGTCACTTGCATTCACTGCCTGTGTGTGCTCCCTAGGAGCGTACAGCCCCGCGATCCGCTGCTGCTCTGTGAGAGGTCCCGATCATGTGATCACTGATTGGCCAATCAGTGATCACATGAATAGCAGTAAGCAAGATGTCACTTGCTGACATCATTGCTTACTAGCAGTGAAATCTGTGAATGATCACAGAGGTCACATGGTACAAGGCTATTCACAACAGCCCAGTACCATGTGTCAAGCTGTGACCAATCACAGCTCTCACAGTATTTCTCAGAGAGAAGGAGAAATTATTGCTTTTACAGCCTTTATGGGTGTAAAAGCAATCAGTGTAAAAGAAAAAAAAAATCTTCATCACCACCCACAAGTGTACAATGTCACTATGGTGACACTGTACTGCTAAGATGACAGTATGTTGAAAAAAAACCCCATAAATAATAATATATAAAAAAAAATAAACATGTAAAACGATTTTTTTCTAAATTATAATTTTTGGTTATAAACTAATTTGGGTTATTTTTTTTTTTTTTTTTTACTAAAAAGATATCTGAATTCATTTTGGCCAAGATTTATGAAGAAAGATTTATTTGCAAAATTTTATAAGAGAAACGCTTTTCAAAATGTTTGGACTTTTTCATTTACATAGCAAAAAAATTAAAATCCCAGTGGTGAATGAATAAATACCACCAAAATAAAGCTTTATCTGTCTCAAAAAAATGCAAAAAAATTCATATGGGTACAGTATTGCATGACCGCGCAATTGTCATTCCAAGTGTGATAGTGCTGAAAGCTGAAAATTGGCCTGGACAGGAAGGGGGTGAAAGTGCCCGGACTTGGAAGTAGTTAAAAAACAAAAAAAATGGATTTTTTTAAATTTAAATCAGGTTTTTTTTATTTTTATCAAATTTATTTTAATAAAATGCTTTTGGAGTAAAATTCTATCTAAAGATAGTTTTCTATTTAAGATACATTAATAATTTGGTTTATTCAGCATTAAATGGAGCTTAGTTATGTAGCATGAGGCTGTATATTCTGCAATATTTACATTTTTGGTAAACTCATTCAATGTTTCCAAGCTCTGCAAGCTGAGATAACATGCACTGCATTGATACATTCACACAATTTCACAGTAATCACGAGAAAAAACATGAAATAAAATAATTTGAGTTCTCCAGCTATCTGTGATTAACCTAAAATCGGTTCTGATATTGCTGTTTTACTAACCTGACAGCTTTTTATTCTAAAAAGGAAACCTTCATTTGGTTTGCAAATATTAAAGATTCTACCAGCAAGAATGAGTTGGATTCCTTACATTTAAAGAGCACCTGTCATTTTAGTTCCATCATGACAGCGCCTGTTAGTGGGCATCCACTCACCTGCTGCCGCCACGTCCCTCACCTTGTGTCACTGCCGCATCACCAGCCGTCCTATTAAAGTGAATAGGACTGTCGGTGAGTCAACAACGGGTCAGAGGAGGAGCCACTGCGGGACAGAGATGACAGTTGCTCTTTAAAATGTATGATATGATTTAAATCGAGCCTTTTCACTAATGATTTAAATCAACTTGATATAAATCAAATCCACTCTGTTGTAGTGTAATGTAACAAAAATGGAAACTGAAGTGCCACATCACTGCTAAGTGTATTTCATGCTAAACTAAACTAGTGCTTGTTTAGTGTGAAACGCGTTAGCCAGCTTTTATTCCCTCCACTGTTTATTTTATGTATTTTTATATTAAGGGGAGAGTCTAATAAAGGTGATTCCAGTAATGCAGCCATCCAGACTTTTCTTCTATTATACCTGTCAGTTGCAAGCTGGGTTGGCACCTGGATAGTGTGTTAGCGGCAACGTTGAGGCAGACCGACCTAGATTGGTGTTTTCTCTCTCTGCAATATTTCACATTGAACCTGTGTTGAAGAGGACAAGGGCCTCATCCCGAGATGTCCATCCATCAGTGATTGTCCAGGGATGCAGATCCATATCAATCACAATGCCCAATCATGACTGATGTGGATCTGCATTACTGGACAATGAGAGTCCTCCTGCCAGTGCCAGTGATTATGTCAGTATTTCTGTGCTAAAGTATTTTCTGGTAAATATTTTTTTGCATGGAAATATGTCGTTTTTTTATTGTAGGCCTGTAATTTTTAGGAATAACTCACTGAAATCTGTCCGAGTCTAGTAAACATCCCGGGTATGATAAAATTTGAAACACGAAATCATAAATTATAATTTAATAAATAATCATAAAAAATAATAATATAATAATAATATAATAATACATTTAATTCAATAATATAATCAAACCAAAAACACTGAAATTTGAAATAAAGCGCCAAGTTCGCACATCATTGAGCAAAGTCGCAAAATCGTTTTCAGTGTCTGATGACGAATTTCCCCACGAATCATTATCACTCAATTCTGCAAGTGATTCTAATTTACTATCGCTGTTCTCTAGCTGGTCTAAAACAGCTTCTGACCTAAAGGGATGCTTTTTGGATGCCATGGACATTTCTCAGTTTCAAGGCAGAAAGAACAGTAAAAATGCAGGCAGGGCACAGGACAAAGCACTAGGGACAAAATGTATGTGAAATGCTTTGATACAGTAATGTTTTACTATGTGATTTTAGCGTATTTAGTGAATGTCACTTTTTGTCATTTTCAAATTTCCCCGCCGTTACGTCCCCGTACGTCCCGACGTCGCAGGGACCGGAACCCAGAAGACAGATGTCGGCATCGACCGGAGGAGATGGTCGGGGACGCTGCAGGGGGGACATCGCAGGAGCGAAGGACAAGGTAAGTGCAGAAGGGATCCAAGAGCAACGCTGCAAGGTATTCTCAAGTGTAGCTCGGGGTTACCGCTTGTGGTGCTGAAACTTTACCCCGAGCTACACTCAGGAATACCTCCAAGGAGGTTAAAGGCTTTGTCTCAGCCCTCTAAAGCCACGTTTAGATGTGCAACTAACACTGCTAAAAATAGGCTCAATCCTCTATTTTTACCCCTTGACAACCACAAGTGTAAACAAGTTCTTCATGGGACTTTGGCTGGACAGCTTGGTCTGTTAGAAATAGTTGTAAAATAACAGACTTACTGGCTGGATCACTACCTAAAAATAAAGGCAAAGGAAAGAAAAAAAACACAAATGCAATCACCACATCTAAGAACTGACAAGCTGCAATATAATTTTTGTAATTTTTAATATGACTTTAAAATTAACCATATATCCAAGAAAGTGCCTATAGGAAGTGGAAACATATTGTCAGCAGATTCTCACAGAAAAATAAGAAGTTCTTTTTTAAGAATTCTTTCTTTTTCACAATGATAATCATCGTGACCAGATGGTAGAAGGAAGTAAATTCATCAAACAACGGGTAAAAACAACATTTCTAGTTTTCACAAAAAATGTTCCAGATTATTATTATTCAGGATTTTTATAGCGGAAACAGTTTGTGCAGTGCTTTACAATATGCCTGTTGTGCAAGAAGCAAGATCCTGGAGAAATCTTCACTGCAGGGATGCCTGTCCTCTTCCTGGCTCTGAACTTCCAGGGCTGTAGTGGTTAACAGATTTGGGTATTCAGGCAGAACAGCAGTACAGATGGTCCAAAAGGCACATGGCCTTTCCTCCCTCTTTCAATGAGAAAAGTTATTTCACTGTTTACACTGCTTGTAACATGATTTGTCAGTCGGGGAGAGAATCCTGCGACTGATCTGACTCTCCATCATTCACAGATCATGTTACAAGCAGTGTAATCAATGAAAGAACTTTTCTCATTGGAATAGGAGGAAGAAAGGGGAGTGTCCTCACTGGACTATATGTACTGCTGTTTTGCCTGAAGTTGTTAACCATCACAGTGCCAGACGTTCAGAGACAGGAAGAGGACAGGCAATTACCTGCAGTAAAGATTTCTCTTGGATCCAACTACCTGCAAACTGTGGACATATTTACAGGTAAGTGATGTGGCTAAAGCCATCTCTTCTCTAAATCCGTTCAAAGTGCTGAAATTATAAAGCTTGTCTGAGACAAAAAAGAAGGAGAGCAGAGCAGAAATTACATTCTGCAGAGCTCAGTGAATACAGCTACCAGAGCTGATAGGAGAGAAGGGACAGAAACCCTTCACACAGCTCACAGTAATTGAGCTGAGGCTGGAGGTCTCTTCCTGACACCATTTTTCTCTTGGTGTCAGGAAAACTTGTCAGAAGTGATTCATGCTGATAGCAGAAGCTGCAGACAGAAATGGCACTTTTAATTAAAGTGTTACTAAACCCAGGACCTGCATTCATTATATCTGGTCTCCCACAGTACACACTACATGGAAATGCAATTATTTTAGTAAATATAAACTGCTAAATACCTTTTCGCATCAGCAGTTAAAGCAGTCTTGTGACTTCAGCTAAGCACTGGTTAAAGCTTGTAGGAGGAGTTTTCTTTCTGCTGTAGGAGGATGCAAAACCCCTGACCTCTGTCTGGACAGTGCTGATTGGCCCTGTGCTGATCACATGCACTCTCGCAGAAAAAAAAAAAAACCTCTCAAGCAATACACACTAAACTAAACATGTGCAGAAGGGCTTACGAGTTCAGTCTGTCTTATCAGCATGGACATTTAAAACAAGAGGAAGGGCAGAGAAGACAGGATCAAACAGCCTTTTTACATAATGCAGAGGATTAACCCCTTAGATTCTACAGTGAGTATAACAAGCATGCTCTATTGCATATACAGACTGATTTTACTGATGTAGATTTAGTAACACTTTAAGAAGAGTACACACAGGGGTGGACTGACAACTCATGGGGCCCCCGGGCAATAGGGGATCATGGGGCCCCTGTGTCCTTGCCCAAACTCAAAAAAGCCTATGAAAAAGGTACCTGGGGCATCTCATGGGGCCCCCTACTGACCCTGGCCCTCGGGCAGTGCCCGAATTTCCAAATGGTCAGTCCGCCCCTGAGTACACACGATATGTAGAGTGATATACTTTGTTCATATTTCATGTCTGAGGTTTACAGACACTTTAAGTTAAACTTCAGGTTTATATAAACTCATAGATTTCAAATATTAGTTTCTATGAAGCAGCACAGCCTCTGAGTGATTTTTGGAATCCAATATTTAACTGCTGAAAGTGTATATTCACTGTGACATGACTATGACTGTAGCTGTAGACAAGTGCACAGAAACAAAGAACTATGAAGTGCCAATGTCTCAGGAGGGCTGTCTGAGTACTGAAAGTGGGCGTCATATCGCCTGACATTTTCATACATCTGGCCCAAAGTACAATTCTGAGAAATGAGCTTCACTCCTAATTTTTTACAGAATCCTAGTGCTATCTGCAGGCTATGAGTATAGAGAAGCAGAGCAAGAGTAAGTATTAAACATGACACTTCCAAAATAGATGAAGACCTTCATCACTGGAATGCGTATGCAGCTGGGAACCTCTATCAAAACCCTGGAGGTGGAATCAGGGCATAGAATTCTTCAGAATTAATTTACCAACAAATAACACTAGACACTTTGGTAGTACTATCCTAACAAGATATCACAGAACACATTAGCAATACGATTCCACTAATATATTAGATGTGATAACAATATCATCCTAGCAAGAAATTTCCACAAATGTCATAAATACTATTTGAACAAAATATAGCTACTGGATATTTTAGCAGTAACATCCCAACAAGATTAACAGTACTGTTCTAATATATTATCATTTAAACTCTTTGAAGTGTTATTAAACCCACAACAGTAAAATCAGTCTGTAGATGCAGTAAAGCATTCTTGTTATACTCACTGTGGAACCTAAGGAGTTAATCCTCTGCATTGTGTAAAAAAGGCTGTTTGAGCTTGTTTCCTCTGCACCCTCCCCCCTTCTAGTTCAAATATCCATGTCTTATCTCCTGATAAGACAGACTGAACCTATAGTCACATGCTCATGCTCAGTTTAGTGTGTATTGCTAGAGACATGAAATATGAACAAAGTTTATCACTCTAAATATAGTGTGTACTTTTCTCAAAGTGTTACTAAACCCACAACAGTAAAATCAGTCTGTATATGCAATAGAGCATGCTTGTTATACTCACTAAGGGGTTAATCCTGTGCATTGTGTAAAAAGGCTGTTTGATCCTGTCTTCTCTGCCCCTCCTCTTGTTCAAATTTCCATGCTGATAAGACAGACTGAACCCATAAGCCCTTCAGCACATGCTCAGTTTAGTGTGTATTGTTCTTTTCTTGGGAGAGTGCATGTGATCAGCACAGGGCCAATCAGCACTGTCCAGACAGAGGTCAGGAGTTTTGCATCCTCCTACAGCAGAAAGAAAACTCCTCCTACAACTTTTAACTAGTGCTCAGATGAAGTCACAAGACTGCTCTAACTGCTGATGAGAAAAGCTACAGTATTTAGCAGTTTATATTTATTAAAATAATTACATTTCCATGTTCTCTGTACTGCAGGAGACCAGATATAGTGAATGCAGGGTCCTGGGTTTAGTAACACTTTAACAATATTGCCAGAAAACACATCAAAATAGTATTCCAGCAAGATATTTAGAAATAATAATAATAATATCCCAATAAATATAACAATTAAATAAATATCTTTATTACAAGATATAGTGCTACCCCTGCAGGGGCCACTAGATATTGCTTGTCCCCAGCAGTTGCCCTGACCTTGTAAGCCTCCTGATATCTCTGACACTCTGGGTTCAGACATATTTCAACTGTATAGAATAATAATGCAAGAGACACAATTCTCAGTAACACCTCTATATCTCTATAGTCTTGTTCTAAAGAGTAGACCACAAGAGTATTGGGTTTAGGATATACAACCCCAGTTAATGCATACAAATAAAAACACTGGTAAAATAGGAATAATCAATGATCAAATTTAGCAAAATTACACAATCATGAGTAGTAAGCTTCAACTATTAAACCGCAACACCAGCAGTTAGAGGGGGAAGAAAAGGCTTGTTGACTTATCAGCTCCCTTTCGGCCACCAGCCCCACAATGGTGGATGCAGAGATTTCTGTAATTGTATACTCCAAACATAAATAGATATAAGTTACCTAATTTAAATAACAATAGGCTTAGAAGAGAAGGGGCGACCTTTACATAAGATATTGCAACTTGAGTCCTATGATGAATAAAGTTCCTGTTATGGTGGTGTCCACTGTTATCTGTTAGCAATGGTGGGGGGCCTATAAACAGTACAGAAAAGTGGTAATTCAATGAAGTTAAACAGATGGTACTGTGGTACTACACAAAGCAAAGATCTCCCCGTGATGGAGATCAGAAATATTATTTTATTTTTGAGTTGTTTTGTTGAACTCAATAGTGTGTCATGCAGTCAGCTTGTCTGCTTAATTAAAATCTATGAGTTCCTGTGCCCCACAGGGGGTGGGAGATGAGGTTGATCTCAGTGGGAGGCACAGACAGCACAGTGTCCTGCAGCTGGAAAAAAGCCAAATGTGTTGGCACCAGGTGCTTGAGGTTTGGTTGAATTGAAGGGACAAGATAATGTCCCTATGCTGGCTGAAAGGGTCAGAACATTCAGAGCTTAATTCAGTGATGGACAGATGGGCTCATGACTGCAGGTCTCGCAAGAAGATGCACTGAACTTCTGAGATGTAGTTCTGTATGGGCTGGGCTTTGCTTTCTGCACTGCTGTGACCTGTAGTTCTGCATTGGCTGTGTAGCTTTGCAGACACAGGGACTTTCCTCTACCCTCTGCTCTTCCGTCAACTGTTGCCTGTGTGGTTTTTAAGCTGCGGCAGAACACACAGCCCTCCGAGGACCTCTGCCCTCTGGACCTCCTTCTCCATGGCACTCTGCCTAGACTTCCTTTGCTGAGGCCACTGTTGGCTGGTGAGTCCCTGAATCTCTGCCCTGTGGTCCTGAACTTTGCTGTACCAGTTTGTGGCCTGCTACTCACTGGGCCCAGATTGTTGCTCTTTGACTCTGGACTAAGCTCTGCTGTACTAGAGTGCCACATTGTGCCATGGACTTAGCCCATGTTGTGCTGGATCCCTGTCCATTCCTGCTGTGTGTCCAGTTCCTTGTGTGGATTAACCTTTTGCCTGCCAGAACTCTGCCATATCTGCTATGTGCCCAGCCTGTGCTAAAGACTTAACCTTTGTGTGCCCGAGTTCTGCCATCCCTGCTTTGTGTCCAGTCTGTATTACAGACTTAACCCTTTGTCTGCCGGAGTTCTGCCATCCCTGCTGTGTGCCCAGCCTGTGTTATGGACTTAATCCTTTGTTTGTCGGAAATCTGCCATCCCTGATGTGTGCCCAGCCTGTGTTATGGACTTACCCTTTGTCTGCTGGAGTCCTGCCATCCCTGTAGTGTGTTCAGCCCTGTGTTAAGGATTTAACACTTTGCCTACCGGAACTCTGCTATCCCTGCCTTTCAATAAAAGCCTTGTGTGTACTCCTGCTCTCCGTACAGTTGTGTCCAAAATTATTCAACCCCCAATGCTGTAAAGGGGTTTAGGGACTATAGTGTACATTTGGAATTGTATTCAGAATCAAATCCTACAAGGACGTTGTAACTACCCAAATGCAACTAAAATGACATCAATTGTTTATGTAATACAGTAGTAAATGGTTCTTATGTGGTTTCTTCATTGCCACAATTATTCAACCCCTTAAAGACTACCACTCTGAAGAACAGAGGTTCATACAGGTGCTTTCCATCAGGTATTGAAAACACCTGTGGATGTCACCGAGCAGCAATCAAGCATAATAAGCACCAATTAGGCAGCTTTAAAATGACTGTGATACTCAGCTCCTTCTAGACATTTACTGGTGTGGTTACAAACATGGTGAAGGCAAGAGAATGGTCCAGGAAGACACAAGAGAAGAGGTGATTTCTCTTCACAGGAAGGGCAATGGCTATAAGAAGATTGCAAAGATGTTAAACATACCAAGAGACACCTTAGGAAGCATCATTCGCAAATTCAAGGCAAAGGGCACTGTTGAAACGCTACCTGGTCGTGGCAGAAAGAAGATGCTGACTTCGACTGCTGTGCGCTACCTGAAGCGTAGAGTGGAGAGAAGTCCCCGTGTGACTGCTGAGGAACTGAGAAAAGATTTGTCAGATGTGGGTACAGAAGTTTCAGCCCAGACAATAAGACGCACACTGCGTAATGAAGGCCTCCGTGCCAGAACTCCCAGGCGTACCCCCTTGCTGTCTCCAAAGAATAAGAAGAGTCGACTGCAGTATGCCAAAAGCCATGTGGACAAACCACAAAAGTTGTGGGATAGTGTTCTGTGGACTGATGAAACAAAATTAGAACTGTTTGGGCCCATGGATCAACGCTATGTTTGGAGGAGGAAGAACAAGGCCTATGATGAAAAGAACACCTTGCCTACTGTGAAGCATGGTGGAGGGTCAATCATGCTTTGGGGCTGTTTTGCTTCTGCAGGTACAGGGAAGCTTCAGCGTGTGCAAGGTACCATGAATTCTCTTCAGTACCAGGAGATATTGGATGGAAACGTGATGCAGTCCGTCAC